TAAGCATGAGAAAAGCCCTAGAGACTTTAATTAGATGTTGATAGGCTTCATTTTACCTTTGATTCAAGGAGTTAGAAAGATTAAGAATATTTTCCATTTAACCTCTATGAGTAACAGCTCACTGTTGTATGAGAAGAAAACATTATTAGAAAGCAGTGTTGTCACTTTTTTCCCGTTCTCAATTTTTTTTAATGACCTTTGCATAGCTTTAGTAAAGAAGTTTGGTTTTGAATGAATGAACTAGGATTGTCAAATCATACAAATTGATAAGGAGCTAGTCCACTTGTAACTGATAGAATTGCACAGCTGCCAATTTCAAAGGATATCAGCACATACTTTGTGTTCATCAAAAAAACCCTAAGTAATAGCCATGGTTGAGCCTTTGAGCCTCTTCTGATATTCAGTGAAAATCAAGTTCACGATGCGCTCTCAGCAACTAAGACACTGCTCCTTGCTTCTGTGCATTCAGTACTAAAATGAATATGTCTATGTTAGGTAGCAGGCCACTGCAAAAATAATGTGACTTTTCCAGATTAAAGTAGCTGTTTCCACTGGATGATCTGCTGTTAGGTGCAGTGCAGTTCAAAGACTGGGTTTTTTTTTTCTTTTTGTTTGTTTGCTTTCTTATTGAAACATTGAATACTTTTTATCTTGTTTTGTGTTAGTTACTTTTGGATTACTGAACAGTTTGGTGTTGAAATCACCATCAGTAAGATTTTCATCCAAACTAGTGAAAAATCTTTTTGTCCAGAGGCAAAGACAACTGAAATCTGTATGTTAACTGTGGTGATTGGATTTAGAAGATATATATATTTTGTGAGAAAGCAGAACACTGGTTCAAATTTAACTTTGCAAACACAGAGGGTTAAAAGAAGATGTACTGTTGATATTTTCTTTCTATTGATGTAAATAGAACAGAACTAGACTAATGCTGAACCTTCTGGAAATCCTTCCAATTTTTGTTCGCAAGCTTTCTGTCCGTGCTCATCAGCTGCAGTGACAACAGTTGTTTTCAGTAAAGCTGTTTTGGTTCTTTCCTGAACACTTGATAAACAAGCTGTTTAAGTAGGTTGTGCTGTAGGTTAGTGCTAACCCAACCTTAGCATCTCTTAGTAGCTATAGGGAGAGCCGTGTGGAATTGAGAGCAGTCTCCAAGCTATTAGGAAACAGCCACATGATAATAATACTCCAGCTAGGACTTCTGTTGCTGTCCGACCAAAGATGTTTTTCTCGGTGTTTATCCTTGCTAGTCATCATCTTTTTATTTATATAAAGCTGCAGTTGGAGCCACTAGCAATTATTTCTGGCTGTTTTGACCTAGTCCTAAGTTAATAAGAACTTTAAAGGCTTTGGCATCTCTGGAGGCTGGAAGTTCGCACCCAGCTTATGCAGTAAGCATGAAAGCCAGCAGCAAGAATACTGTGCAGTGTTTTTGGGTAAGCACAGTGACATGCACACTGTTTCCAGAAGTGAAGGCAAAAAGCAAAGTCACATAGATATTGTTCTTGATAGAAAGGGTTTTATGTCACTTGAGATTCCTGGGCCCTTATAGCAGAAAGGGTGAACAGAGCAACAGCTTAATCATATGATGAACGTAGAGTTACCAAAAGTCTTAAGATGTGATTGCATACCATTCTAAAATACATGCTTTAAAATGGCTTCTAGCATTAAGTATGTAAAGGAAATCAGACCACATTACCACATTACTCAGTGTTTGCTTCTTTCCTTAGCTTGTGAAGTATAATCTTCTAAGCCTTATGCAAATTACTATTTATCCTTTAATTAGATTTTTTAAATCATTTGTCTGTCTTCTGCTTGAGATC